GGCTGGGCTATCCCGGGGCTCCGCTCTCCGGCCGCCGCCCACCTTGCCGCGCCGGGCGGAGGCCTCGGGTTCAGGCAGCCTTGCAGTCCTGGGCCTGACTCCTTCAGCGGCGGCGGAAGAGTGGGACCCTGTGCCTGGCCTGGTGGCTGCTTCTCCCCTGTACGGCTCTGCTGTTTAGAGCGCCCGTAAGAAGACACGGGTTCCCGGCAGCCTCCCGAGCTTTACTCGCAGTGGTAACTTCCAGCCCCGGGATCACAGCCTCCCGCCGGCATCGCTCGGAGGTGCTTAGGGCCTCCTACAGGCCAAGTTCCTGGGCGCGAGGATTTGCTGTGGAACCTTGTGTCCAAACAGACCTGAGAGTGAAACAGTCTCGGTGTGTCTCACAGATCTCTAAGCCCTTTAGTGACAATGTGTAATATAAATTCTTAAATTCAGAATGTAAAGAACCGGTTAATACTGAAATCCCTTGAGACTGTGCTGTCCAATAGGGTAGCCACTGGGCACACGTAGCTAGTGAGCGCTTGAGATGTGGCTACTCCCAATTGACATCCGTTGTAAGTGTAACCAAAAAGCTCTGGTGGTGCAGTGGCTAAAGCATGCGGCTGCTAACCCAAAGGTTGGCGCTTGGACCCACCAGCCACTCCACGGGAGGAAGAAGAGACAATAGGGTTGGTAAAGATTTACGGCCTTGGAAACCCTGTGGGGCATTTCTACCTGGTCCTGCTGGGTTGCTGTGAGTCGCAATGGACTCGGTGGCAGTGGGTTTGGTTTTGGGTGTCACCAACATACCTGATTTCGAAGTACTACTATAGTTATCCTAATTTTAAAATAGTCCAGGCAGATGTTTCAATCTAGTACTAAATGTTTCTGTTTGTTTCTTTAGCCGTAAATGAGTTTATATTGTTTCTCGATTGTTCTGTGTTCAAACAATGTTTATTATTTCAAGTGATTTCCTTTTAAATAATCCATGACCTCCCTTGAGAGTTTCCAGAATTGAATTTAATTTTTAAAGACAACTTGTTTATTTTATTAATGCTATTTATTACAGTTAGTATTGACTGAAGGAGCTACCTCAATCTAACATCAAATGGTAAACTACCATCAGAAGAGTTTTAAGTTAATGATCCCATGAGAACCAGTCTTGAATGTGCAACGCGTCTTCTTTTACCTCTGTAAAGGCACTGGAACAAAACAGTGCTTAGAAAATTACTGACTGATCATTTAAAGTTATGGAAAGATGGAATATTAGCTATGGAATAATACTGCCAGAAGGAAAATTTAAAGCATCCCTGTTATAGTGCATCAATTCTAAGACACTTTTGTGTGTGTGTGTGTGTGATTTGGGTGAAAGTTTACAGAGCAAATTCACTTTCCATACAGCATTTCACACACGCTTGTCTCATGACATTGACTACAATTCACCCCAATGCAACAGCTCCCTTCCCACTTCCTCCCCACAATTATCTCTTCCCTGTGTCCATCCCTCCATGCACTACTGTCCCCTGAACTGTCTCTCTTTGTTCTCTCCAAGAAATGTATCTACCTCAGGTACATGTTCAATTCATATACCTGACTTTTCTTTGGCTGGAAGCCACAGGTGTGGGTTTGATTGCATACCTGAAAGGCAGCCAGGGACCATAGTCTCAGTGGTTCCACCAGGCTCGGTTA